CCCTCCCCGGAGGGCACTCCGTCTCCCTCGAGCCCACTCCGCCCCGACTAGGCGCACCGTCCCCTCGTCCGGCGACAAAAGCACGACAAAGACGAAACTCCCCACTCACCGCTTCTTGTCCTTCTTCTTCTGGTTCTGGCTCTGCTTCTTCATCTCCTTCTCGCGCTCGCGCTCGTCCTCGTCCTCGAGCTCGCGCAGCAGCTGCAGCTGCCGGTCCTGTGCCACGCGCTCGCGGTACGCCTGCAGCATCGGCCACGGGCGCAGCGCATTCGGGGAGGGAGAACCGAGCGAGATTTGAGGAGTAAAAGCAAATCAGCCGCGGGCGGGGAAGCGAGTAGTTCCGTGGCGCGTGTGCGATTGCGCAAAGCGAAAGAGTCGATCGCGGTCGAGGGCGAGATCGCGTGCGCGTCGGCGGATCGAGTGTGGAGGGAAGGGAAACGAGAAAAAGTAGTATTAGATCGAGTGCGCGTCGGCGGATCGAGTGTGGGGGGAAGGGAAACGAGAAAATGAAATCAACGAAACAATCAGCTGTGTTTCCACGGAACAGAAGGATAAACGCACCTTCAAGACACGCTGCTCGAACATCCTCGCGGCGAAGATGCTGAACATGCGCTTGCCCTCCTCCATTTTTTGTTCCTCCGTCATCGCCTGGATGTTACCCGTCAGAATGAAAAGAAAGAGGAAGCACAACGAGAACGGAGCGGATACACACCTCCTCGCCCCCCTCGTCGTCCTCCTCGTCCTCCTCCCCGCTCTCCCCGTCGTCGTCACTGCGCAAAAAAAAAAATGTCAGCGGGTGTTCCCCACAGGCCACAATCCGAATGAAGAACACAAATATCCCGCTCCGATGGGACCCGCCACGGCACCAAACAATAAAAAAAATGCAACAGAAAGCGCAACTCACCCACTATCCCCGCTCTCCCCCTCATCGTCCTCCTCGCTCTCGTCCTCGCCTTCCCCGTCCGACGAGCCGTCGCCGTCCCCGTCGAGCGACGAGGACGAGTCGTCCTACACGGCGGTGTTAGCGGTTACGCCGAAAGGCCGCAAGGGAGGGCAGGAATGAGACCCAACACGCACCTCGTCGCCACTGACACCCCCCGCGGCCTCCTCTTCGCGGGCCAATCGCCGTTCGGCCTGGACGGAGATCAGGGTAATCAGCATTCAGTCGCGGTGCGAGAGGAACAAGTAGACTCGGAAATGCAATGTGCGTCGAAAAAACGAAAAACCCAAGTGTGGGATTGGTACCGGGTGAACCGAACCCGCCGCACCGCATCGCGCACGGCGTCGCGGAGAAAAAAACCATGCAAAAAAGGAAGGAAGTGAGAAGTAAAAAAGAAAAGAAGAGGTGCGGTATGTCTGGAGAGCTCCCAAAAAAAACCAAAGAGAGAAGAGAAGCACCCACCAGCTGCTCCATCATCTCCAAAAACTTGCGCCCGTCGTTCTTGAGCAGGTCGTCCGCGACGGTCAGGATCGAGGTCGGGCCTGAGAGGGTTGCGTTAGCGTCATTTATACTACGTCGTTCGGTTCGGGGCAAGGTGGAAGTGGAAAGAAACGATATGATATGATACGAGTCCGATTCACGGTAGGTACAAGACCCGCCTCCCGCCGTGCGCACGAATCAACCAATACAAATCCAATCCAATCCCGCCGCCCACGTGGCAGGCCTCGAAACGGATGGATTGCACCCACACCCAGGACCCGGCCGGGATCGGAGGGCAGACAGACAGACAGACGGACACGGCGGGGAACGAAGAACGAAGGACGAAAGACGAAGAATGAAAAATGAAGGCAAGGAGGAAGGAGGACGGCCCATCCCGCCCTACGTGGCATGTCTCCGTCGGATGGGCGGCACATGCGTGTCGTGTGCACTGCAGCCGCGCGCGCGCTCGGGTGAAAGCAACAAACGAAAAACCTCGCGGTCGAACAGAAAAAACCACCCCTCCCGAAAAGAAAAACACCAAAACAACAAAGAACACTCACCCCCAACCCCCGCGCCCACGGCCGCGGTGATCTTGCCCTTCATATCCACCGCGCCCCTCCCCCGTGCGTTGGCAGCGGGCGTTCCGTTGGCGGGCGCCCGGGGCGCGGGCTGGTTGGCCGCGGGGGCGGGGCGGGGGCGGCCTACATGACATGCGCGTAAGATCTGCTCAGACACCACAAGCGGGAAAGGCGCACCATTGACGACCGGCGGCGCGAGCGGCAGCCGTCCCTCCTCCCCGTCGTCGCCCTCGCCCTCCTCCTCGTCCTCCAGCCCGTCCTCGCCCTCCTCCTCCTCCTCCTCGCCCTCCTCGCCCTCGTCCTCCAAGTCGTCGTCCGGCGGCTCCTCGTACAGATCGTCCTCGTCCTCCTCCTCGGTGCGGTTGTTCACCGCCGCGTTGGCGGCGGGCGGTTTCCGCTGCTGCTGCCGCCTCCGCCCGCGCCTGCCCTTCTTCCCCGGGCCCGTCCCGCCCTTCGGATGGCCCGGGCTGTTTTGGTTGTTCGGATTGGGACTCTTGTGGTGGCTGGAGAGCAGCGCGGGCGGCGGGGTAGCCCGCGACGACCGCGCCGTAGCGGTCGACCTCGACGCTGCCGGGGAAGGGCCCGGGGCCAGGCGGCGGGGGCAGCGTGCGGTTGGACGAGAGGTACTGCTGCTGGTAGAGCGCGTACTGCTCGAGGTCCTCGTAGTACGCGTCGTACAGCACCTGCAGCTCGTCCTCGATGGCGGTTCTGGCGCAGCGGTCAGCGGATGTGCGCAGCGATGAAAGAAGACGGACCGTTTCCTGCCGCAGACCGCACACGAGCAGCTGTGCTTCTGCTCCTCCTTCATCTTCCGCAGCACCGTGTCCTTCTCCACGCGCACGAGGTCGCGCCGCTCGTCCTCCGCCAGCGCGAGCCAGAAGTCGCGGATCCGCTCGCGCTCCTCGCTGCTGCTCGTGCTCCATATCTTGTTGTTGTTCGCGCTGCTGTTCGCGGCCGGCTGCTTGCCCTTGGCGGCGCAGTGGCGGGGGCTGCGGCGGCGGGCTCAGGGGGGTAGCCGCCCGCGGCGCTGACGGGGGCCTTGGCGGCGGCGCGGGCGCTGCGGGGCGGGGCGGGGGTGGCGCCGGCTGGCTGGTAGGCCATGGGCTTCTTGCCGATGGAGACGCTGGAGGGCGGCGGCGGGGGCGTGGGGGCCATCTGCTGCTGCTGCGTGGTCCTTGTGTGCGTTGTCGCCGAATCTGTCTTGACGGCGAGGGACGACACTGAAAAGTATTAGTCAGCCTTGCAAATCACGTGCACATACATGCCCACCGGCAGTCCGGTCGACGGACGACGGGGCCAGCGCCGCCGCTGCCTCCCGCACGCGCGCAGCGAACGACGGGTCCGTGCGCACCCGCCGCCAGTACTCCGAGTCGTCGTCGTCGTCGTCGCCGTCGTCGCCCGCCGCGTCGCCGCCCTCGTCCTCCGACCCCCCGCCCAGCGACCGGTACAGCTCCTTCGCCGTCGCGAGCAGCTCGTTCGTCGCAGCCAGTGCCGCAGCCGTCAGCCCCGTGTCGCCTTCAATGTCCGCGTCTTTCGCTTTCTCCCGATGCTGCTGTCTCTTCTTTCCCATCTCGCTTGTGCGTAATCTAAGCGCACATGAGGGGATGCATCCTAGTACAACTGCACACACCTTCAAGTACACACGCCTTCGCTCTCACTAACCCTCTAACCCTCTTCTGCCTTCTCGTCCTTGCCTCTTGGCCTCGAGCTTGCAACAGCGTCGACTTGAGGTGTAGAGTAGCGTAGCGTACAACGTTGTACCAGGACGATGTAGCAGCAACGAGAAACGGTGGTTCGGCGTTCACTTCAGGTCAGACGCGCCTTCGGACGCGTTCGGTCTTCGGCGTAAGCGATCAACAGCCTCGATGCCAAACTCGTGTCAAGCCCCGCAATCAGATAACGATTATCTTATCGGGATACACTCGTGGCGGCAGGAGGCGGGTTAGGAAGGAAATTGGGTACAAAATTGGTTGAGGTAATAATGCACCGAATTGGATATGGGTAGCTAGGTGCCTGAAAAATGATAATGTGCAAAAAATTTGCTTTCAATCATGGAATGACCTGACCCCGATTCGAACGAGGATCTCCTGCCAATTATGCGAATATCTTCAAACTCCTATGCATAGCAAGTGTGTTTCTATACACCACCAGGTCTTTCCTCCCCTCTTCTGCTCCCCAATACCACAGTATGATTTTGGTGCTGGTAGATGACTCGGATATTCAACATCCAAAAATACATCCTTCCCACTCCGAGTCCGGACCAAAACGACCAACTCTCAAACAGCTACGCACGGATACAGCTGCGCATCGAGAAAAAAAGCAGATACACCACGGGCAGACCTCGTAAAAAAAAAAAAACTCACCGGAAATGACCTGGCCCCGATTCGAACGGGGATCCCCTGCCAAATTATGTTCGCTGCGCAACACACCATGTGTAACAGGTGTGTTGCCATCCACCACCAGGTCTTGTCACCCCACCCCGGTCCCTGGCTTTATTCCACACTTGTGCAGGCCTTTTTTATTGTTCTCAATCAAACCTCAGCAGTTAAACCACACATACTGCCACATCGGTGTTCCCTGCCTTGAAATTTGGAACACCACAAAACCAAAGAAGTATCATATGAGACACAGCTATCCAAAGAAAAACACCCCGCCGGCGGAACTTGTAGAAAAAAATACAGAAGTAATCATTTCTGACCATGACCTGGCCCCGAATCGAACGGGGTTCTCCTGCCGAATTACCTTGCAAAGAATTATGTGCAACAGGCGTGTTACCATACACTACCAGGTCTTTGTACTCTTCTATTGTCCCGCCTTATCCACCTGTCCAGAATCAAAGACCCCGAGTCCCAGGCTTCAATGCTGAAACAAATACCTCGCCACAACTGGAGCCGGGTGACCAAAAATCGAGCAAATACCATCACCTGTCCTACAGCCGTACAGATCAAAGCACACACCTGAATACCCCCGAGTTGGGGCAAAAAGTTTCCAGAATATGACTATGACCTGGCCCCGATTCGAACGGGGATCCCCTGCCAAATTATGCTCTAAACGGCCACTACATGTGTAACAGGTGCGTTGCCATCCACCACCAGGTCTTGTCACCCTACCCCGGTCCCTTGCTTTACTCCACACTTGTGCAGGCCTTTTTTTGATTGTTCTCAATCAAACCTCAGCAGTTAAACCATACATACTGCCACATCGGTGTTCCCTGCCTTGAACTTTATAGTGCCTCAAAACCGAAGAAGCATCATAGTATGAGACACAGCTACCGATATCCGAAGAAAAACACCCCGCTGGAACTTGTAGGAAAAAATACGGAAGTATCACGTCTGACCATGACCTGGCCCCGAATCGAACGGAGATCTCCTACAAACCTCTTTGGCTGCGATCTAGGTGTGCTGCTATACGCCACCGGGTCTTTCTCCATCTTATTTTCCCCAATACCACGGTATAGTTTCTGTGCTGGTAGACAAAAATAAAGGGCTCAGATATTCAACATCCAAAGATACATCTTGCCACCATCGAAAAATCAAGAAACCAACCCCCAAACATCGGGTACGTACCGGATACAGCTGTACACATCAAGAAAAAGCGAGTATATACGGGGAGGGTGCGAGTGCGACTCGTCCAGTCGCACTGTCAGCCCCGGAGTCGCACTGACGAGGCCGTCGGCAGTGTGATTCGAAGGCTGTCAGTGCGACTCGCTTCAAGCCGTCGATGGTGACAGTCACAGGCGGAACACATGACGAAATGATGTGAACAGCCATGCCGTTTATTGCCGTAGCCCCTAGACGGTTGATAAATTTTGAATTTATCACACCACTGGGTGGTGCGGTGACTTTCAAGGTCAACCTGAGCATGTATTCTAGGTAGCACACTTGATATCTAAATAAGTATTCTGGGCGCCCAGAAGTTGAGTTCGCTGGACATATAATGTACGGCTATTCTGCAAGGAAGTTGAATCCCATGCAAGGCCTCTATCGGAGCCCTGTTCAGACCTCTTCCAGTGGGAGTATCCGACAAAAAACTGCTTTCCGTGTGTGGAGGGCACCTGCAGACGCATCAGTAGAGATCAAAACTGATAAATAAATAATAAAGCCACGAACATGAAAACGAAACATTGTTGGAACCCGTTGCATTTAACCTTGCAATTCGATTGCATAATGCGAACATAGAAGCTGAACAGGTAGATCAGGGACTGTGAGGTGAGATGGAGGGCTGGGAAGGGTACATACCGACATATAATTCCTGGAGCTGACACTACTGCTTCTTCCTCGTTTTGGTCCCAGAGTTCTTGCATCCCTTGTTCATCCGCTTCATAACGTTCAAGCCCGTCCAATATCTCTTCCTCGAAAAATTCACATGTGTCGATACCGTTGCATTTATGATGGCAACGGCGACAGCGAATCTTTTCACTGAGGATCGAAGTAAAGCCGGCAACATTAACATCCCCAGCAGCATGGCCAGCCCCTCCGTCCCAGGACTCATGATTCTGGGAAGTGTTTGATAAGCCCAATGAGCGCGAGATAAATAATGGGCCTTACCCATGCTCGTATGAACGTGCTGAGAGGTACAATGTGACCGTCCGGGGCCCTCAACAACTCCACCGACCTCGAAAGGTCCACCAAGAGGGCGGTAGGGGTTCGGGGGATGTTATTGGTCGTTGGTACACTTGTTGAATGAACAATACGATCAACATTCTCCTGCCAAGTAACTGCAATTTGCTGCAGCGGCTGCCGTTTCCCTTTTCCTTTACCCTTTTTCTTTGGTTTGGGTTTCGGTATCCGGAACCGTTACTGAGGGATGAGAGATGAGAAATGGAGACGTCGGCAATCTCAATTTGGGAACTGGTGGAGCAAAGGGATTGCCCAATGAAGCAGTGGAACGAGCGGCAGGGATTGCTGCGGATCCAGGATCGTCTGAATCAGAGTCATGAATTTCGATGACCTCCATGGACATGGAACTTGAAGGACGAGAGAGCATGTCAGATGACGTATAGGATACCTCAGAGCTAGCTCCAGAGGCTGGGATAAATGAAACACGGCTGCTGGCCCGGGATTCAGCCATGGAAATCGAGGGTGTAGCACGAGAGGGTGCTCGCGAAGTGGCGGGCGTCGAATTCCTAGTCGAATTCATGTAGCCTTGGAACGCCGTAGGATTAATCCAGACATCCGGATTCTCCAAACTAAAGAATGGATAGCCAACATATTGATCAGCCAAGATCTGGATATGGTCAGAATTGTGCCAGTTAACAAGACCGGGAGAAAAGTGCGCATAGCTCCGATATGCGATTAGTTTTGTAGATGCATCCTCGGGAAGCCAGCGGGTGCCTGAGATCACAGATTCGTCATGCAACATGTATAGTTGATATCCGAGAGAACTGATCCAGAAAGCCGCATTGTCCACAGAGAAAGGATTATTTCCAGGATTGCTGAGGGTATCCGTGAATGCCTACATTATCGGTTTGCATTAAACAGTGAAGCAGTCATACAAGGAATCTGAAGGCGGAAAGCATTCACAAATTTTCGACATGCCTTGATTTCACTGAGGGAGAAGCTCGGCGGCTCGCTCAAACATCGGCTGAGCCAAAATGTAACAGATGAGTGACAAGGGAGTGGAAGGAAATGTGTGTGTGTGAGTTGGACCAACGCTGCTCAGAACGACGAGGGACGTGGTTCAAGGGGGAAAAAATCGTGTTTTGAAGGCTACTAGGGTACAGAATTTATAGCAAGTAAATTACGAGCTCAACTGGACGATGAGGGGGGTGGGGAAAAAGTCCAAAAGACGGCCGTCAATAAGCTCATTGTATTGACCGAAAATGCCGCGGATGTCAGGCCGGGACTCGGGAGCTGGCTCTGAACAGTTATAGCATTTAATACACATTAAATACACGGTGTGCTACGAAATGTAAACTGTAAGTGATTGAATTATACTACAACATTTCATTGAACCCGGTACTAATTCAAGGGCCGATGGTGGCGGACAACGGATGTTAAAGCGAGCGGCGGTGTACTCGGTGATCTCGGAGATGCGATTTACGGGTACAGCGGGACACGAGGAACATCAGGGGAAAGATTGGTAAAAGAAGAGAAAGAAATCGCCCGGCCGCTCGCTCCCGCCTGATGATGGATGGCGGAACAGCAGTCACACACTGATGGCCGTGCTTAAGCGAATTACGCGAGTACACTGTTTAATGCGGAAGTCGCACTGTTGCATGGTCCCAGTCACCACTGATGGCACTGAGTCGCACTGTCAATCTGGCGACAGTGCGAGTGGCTGAGTCGCACTCGCACCCTTTTCGTCATCCCTCCCACGGCAGACTTCGTAAAAAAAAACAGAAACTCACTGGAGATGACCTGACCCCGATTCGAATTGACGGGGATCCCCTGCCAAATTATGTTCGACATGAAACACGGCCCATATGTGTGACAGGTGTGTTGCCATCCACCACCAGGTCTTGTCACCCTACTTCGGTCCCTTGCTTTATTCCACACTTGTGCAGGGCTTTTTTTGATTGCTCTCAATCAAACCTCGGCAGTTAAACCACACATACTGCCACATCGGTGTTCCCTGCCTTGAACTTTGGAACACCACAGAACCGAAGAAGCATATGAGATGCAGCTATCAATATCCGAAGAAAAACACCCCGCCGGCGGAACTTGTGGAAAAAAATACAGAAGTATCGGCCTCACCATGACCTGGCCCCGAATCGAACGAGGTTCTCCTGCCAAATCATGCATTGCATACCCTCACGTCACGTCCAACAGGTGTGTTACCATACACTACCAGGTCTTTTTTACTCTTCTACTGTCCCGCCTTATCCCCCTGTCCAGAATCAAAGACTCCCAGGCTTCAATGTCGAAACAAATACCTCACTACACTAAAGCTGGATAACCAACAAATCAAACAAATACCATCATCTGTCCTACAGCCGTACAGATCAAAGCACACGCCTGAATACCCCCGAGTTGGGGCAAAAAGTTTCCAGAATATGACCATGACCTGGCCCCGATTCGAACGGGGATGTCCTGCTGACGGTATATCAGAAATAGTTGAAAGAAAATATCTTGCAGCGATATGACCTGACCCCGAATCGTCCAAAGATACATCCTTACACATCCTTACCACCCTGAGTCCGGACCACCAAAACGACCAACTCTCAAACAGTTACGTACCAGATACTCATCAGGGAGCGAGCAAGCACACCACGGGCGGACCTTGTAAAAAGAGACTTGATACATGAGGAATAACCTAGCTCCGAATCGAACGGAGATCTCCTACAAACCTCTTTGGCTGCGATCTAGGTGTGCTGCTGTACGCCACCGGGTCTTTCTCCATCTTATTTTCCCCAATACCACGGTATAGTTTCTGTGCTGGTAGACAAAAATAAAGGGCTCAGATATTCAACATTCCAAAGATACATCTTGCCACCATCGAAAAATCAAGAAACCAACCCCCAAACTCGGGTACATACCGGATACAGCTGTACACATCAAGAAAAAAGCAGAGACACCACGGCAGACTTCGTAAAAAAAAAACAGAAACTCACTGGAGACGACCCGACCCCGATCCGAACGAGGATCTCCCGCCAAACTATGCCCCACACAGAGTCCAGACATATCAGATATTACAGGTGTGTTGCCATTCCACCAGCAGGTCTTGTCACCCTACCCTGGTCCCTTGCTTTATCCCACACTTGTGCAGGCCTTTCCTTATTACTTATTCTCAATCAAACCTCGGCAGTTAAACCACATACTTCGCATGTAGTGGTCACATCAGTGTTCCCTGCCTCGAACTTGGAACACCACAAAACCAAAGAAGTATATGAGACACAGCTATCACCCCGCCGGCGGAACTTATAGAAAAAAATGGCAAGTATCACGTCTGACCATGACCTGGCCCCGAATCGAACGGGGCTCTCCTGCCGAATAATCTGGCACTGCGTCATGACTCATGTGCAACAGGTGTGTTACCATACACTACCAGGTCTTTCTCCCTCTGATTCTCCCCAATACCACAGTATAGTTTCTGTGCTGGTAGATAAAAACAAAGGGCTCAAATATTCAACATCCAAAGATACATCTCAATGCAACTCCGGCGGACCATTGAAAAATCAAGCTCAGGTACGTACCGGATATTACAGCTGTAAACATTGAGAAAAAGGCAGATACACCACGGGCAGACCTCGTAAAAAAAAAAAATTAATGCTCATCGGAAATGACCTGACCCTGATTCGAACCGGGATCCCCTGCCAAATTATGCTCTAAATGGATACAACAATATGTAGCAGGTGTGTTGCCACCCACCACCAGGTCTTGTCACCCTACCCTGGTCCCTTGCTTTATTCCACACTTGTGCAGGCCTTTTTTGATTATTCTCAATCAAACCTCGGCAGTTAAACCACACATATGCATACTTTGAATCCCTGCCTTGAACTTGGAACACCACAAACCCGAAGAAGTATATGAGACGCAGCTTGAAAAACACCCCGCCGGCAGAACTTGTAGAAAAAATACAAGAGTATCACGTCTGACCATGACTGGACCCCCGAATCGAATGGGGTTCTCCTGCAAGCTTCTTTGGCTGCCATCTAGGTGTGCTGCTGCACACCACCAGGTCTTTCTCCCTCTTATTTTCCCCAATACCACAGTATAGTTTCTGTGCTGGTAGACAAAAACAAAGAGCTCAGATATTCAACATCCAAAGATACATCTTGCCATCATCGAAAAATCAAGAAACCAACCCCGAACTCGGGTAAGTATATACCGGATACAACCGTACACATCGAGAAAAAAGCAGATACACCACGGGCAGACCTCGTGAAAAAAAAAAACACGTTGCTTATCACTGCATTCAGGCCCCTGATCGGCAGAGGCTGCCGAGCTTTGCCGCCACCCGCCGCGCCGCGCCCACCCCATGCGACGGGGTCTGCCGCGGAGGCTGTGCCGCGTGCTGCCACCATCTGCCGCCATCTGCCGAGGCGCGGGCGGCCAACCTCTGCCGCCCACTGGCTGCCTCTCCTTCCAGCCACAGTGCCTTTGCCATTGTTCATTTACTCTTGGATCTTTGCCATTTGAGCTTCCTGGCCACTACTCCCAAGAAAAATATAGCTCCCAAGTGTGTGAGAATTATTTCTTGGCATGAGAATTGTCTCTCACCGGCTGATTTCCGAGTGCTCAATGCTTATTTGAAATGGGGCACTCAAGGTGCACTAGCCGGAGGTGGCCATATTGGGTCAGTATTTCTTCCTTGCTGACCAGTGGCTCAAGTTGTTCATGGTGGGTCCATGGTTCAATCGCACTGGCTGCTGTCGGCTGTGTTTGCAGTGACATTATGATTTCGCACGGCCGGCAAACACGCCGAGAGGACCCAGATGTGAATTCTCCAAGACTTCTCTTGACAATTCTGAGTTCCCGAGCGAGCTCGGGGATTGTTCACAGGGAGGCCGATCGTGGCAGGCCATGTCTGACCTCGGGTCTGCCACCCTCTGCCGCGGCGCGGCAGACACACACTCTGCCGCCTAAGGGCCTGAATGCAGTGTATCGGCAATGACCTGACCCCGATTCGAACGAGGATCTTCTGCATATTATGCATATTTTCGATCTACTATGCGTAGCAGGTGTGTTGCTATACACCACCAGGTCTTTCCTCCCCTCTTCTGCTCCCCAATACCACAGTATGATTTTTGTCCTGGTAAATGACTTGAATATTCAACATCCAAAAATACATCTCAATGCCATTCCGCAGACCATCGGAGGGATCAAGAAACCAACCCCCAAACTCGGGTACGTACTGGATACAGCTGCACACATCGAGAAAAAGGCAGATACACCATGGGCAGACCTTGTAAAAAAAACCAGACTGCGCACTGGAAATGACCTGACCCCGATTCGAACGGGATCCCCTGCCAAATTACGTTCGATATGGAAAACCGGACCATATGTACTTAACAGGTGTTGCCATCCACCACCAGGCCTTGCCACCCTACCCCGGTCCCTTGCTTTATTCCACACTTGTGCAGGCCTTTCTTTATTACTTATTCTCAATCAAACCTTGCCAGTTAAACCACACATGTACATACTTCGAACGTAGTGGCCACATCGGTGTTCCGTGCCTTGAACTTTGGAACACCACAGAACCGAAGAAGTATTAGAGAGTTTGTGATAGCCACCTGTAGCAACCTAGGTGGCTTCTGAGGCATGTGGAGCGGGGGTGGCTCCATTGCACCCAGGTGGCTTTTCAAATGACATCACTGTTGGTTCTGTTGGTTTGAATAGATCCCTCAGATTCATATCCTTTGGTGAAAGACATGCAAAAATGCTTGACAGGCAAGAACAGGTAGGAATGTATACACATAAGCCTGGCAAAGGAGAACTCAGCATCTCCTGGCCCTCCAGAGGAGAAGGAGACAGCAATGATGACAAGGGGCTAAGGACAACAGGATTGAGGAAGAAAACAATTGAAAGGAACACAGGGTTTCAATGGGACAAGCCACCCAGGAAAGCCACCTGGAGCTGGAGCCACCCCACTCTACATGCCTCGGTAGCCACCCGGGTGGATCTGCACAAACTCTCTATTGATCATATGAGACGCAGCTATCAATATCCGAAGAAAAACACCCCGCCGGCGGAACTTGTAGGAAAAAATACGAAAGTATCACATCTGACCATGACCTGGCCCCGAATCGAACGGGGCTCTCCTGCCGAATAATCTGGCTCTGCGTCATGTGCAACAGGTGTGTTACCATACACCACCAAGTCTTTGTACTCTTCTACTGTCCCGCCTTATCCCCCTGTCCAGAATCAAAGACTCCCAGGCTTCAATGTCGAAACAAATACCTCGTCGCAGGTGACCAAAAAATCGAGCAAATACCATCACCTGTCCTACAGCCGTACAAATCAAAGCACACATCCGACCCCCGAGCCGGGGCAAAAAGTTTCCAGAATATGACCATGACCTGACCCCGATTCGAACGAGGATCTCCTGCCAAATTATGCTCTATACAGAGTCCAGACATATCAGATATTACAGGTGTGTTGCCATTCCACCAGCAGGTCTTGTCACCCTACCCTGGTCCCTTGCTTTACTCCACACTTGTGCAGGCCTTTCTTTATTACTTATTCTCAATCAAACCTCGGCAGTTAAACCACCCATACTTCGCACATGTGGCTATATCGGTGTTCCCTGCCTTGAGCTTTAAATTTGGAACACCACAGGACCGAAGTAGTATCATACACCGCCGTTTGCGACCAATGTTCTGAGAATGTTTCGTACACACAACATTGTCAAAATAAAAAATGTCGAATCCCTCAAGCATTTTTCAATTCCGTATTTGAGGCATGTTGCATAAATGTTTAACTGATATTTCTGGGACAGTTTGTCAACATTTTTCTTTAAAATGTCTGTGAAACCTTGGAAGAACACATATTAAATGTTTTGTCAAGGTTGCAAGAATATCAACAGTCGAGGTTTGAGAAATGAAGTTCTCGAATGGCGGTGTAGTATGAGACGCAGCTATCAATATCCGAACAAAAACACCCGCCGGCGGAACTTGTGGGAAAAAATACAGAAGTAATCATTTCTGACCATGACCTGGCCCCGAATCGAACGGGGTTCTCCTGCCGAATTACCTTGCAAAGAATTATGTGCAACAGGTGTGTTATCATACACTACCAGGTCTTTTTACTCTTCTACTGTCCCGCCTTATCCACCTGTCCAGAATCAAAGACTCAGGCTTCAATGTCGAAACAAATACCTCACCGCACTGGAGCCAGGTGACCAACAAATCAAACAATATCATCATCTGTCCTACAGCCGTACAGATCAAAGCACACCCGAATACCCCCGAGTTGGACCAAAACTTTCCGGAAACTGATTATGACCTGGCCCCGATTCGAACGGGAATGTCCTGCTGACGGTACATCAATTTGGCGCAAATATAGCAGGTGTGTTATCTTACACCACCAGGTCGTGTTCTTTCTATTCTCATCCCATACCCTATGCCTTAATTATACTCACCCAGCATCCAATAACTTAACTCAACGAAAGTGCACATGTCACACACGGCTAAAAGCAAAATGCAGGGACTTCGGAAGAAGCACCGTCTATCGTGTAGACCAACAGTATGTAAAAACACTCACCTGATCAGTAGAGCTCAACAGAAAAAAATGATACTCTGGGAGACCATGACCTGGCCCCGAATCGAACAGGAATCTGCTGCCAAATGGAACGCAGAAATTGCTTGATGTATAGCAGGTGTGTGAACATACACCACCAGGTCTTCCTATTCCCATTCCTGTCCTCCGCTTTATTCAACACTTTTATTAGGTATCCAGGCCTTCCGACTCTCGATCAGCCTCGGCAGTAATAGTTGAAAGAAAAATATCTTGCAGCAATATGACCTGACCCCAAATCGAACGGGGATTTCCTGCCAATTATGCGTATATCTTCCATTTATGCATAGCAGGTGTGTTGCTATACACCACCAGGTCTTTTCTCCCCTCTTCTGTTCCCCACTGTTATTTGGAACACCTTCCCGACGGACAATGGACAAACACAAACACAAAGCCAACTTGGGCGCGCACCTCCTCCTAGTCAGTTTAACACCAGGAAAACGAGGGGACGCTATTGGTGTCCTCACACTCGAAGGTGCATTTTCTATCTAGCCATTGCACTGCAGTCTTTCTAAACGCAAACCATCTGTTGTTGTTTCCTAGACATCATTGAGGAGATTCTCTCGGAGGAGATTGTAGATGAGAAGGACCGGTATGAGGACGATGTGAACAAGTAAATGGCCACAAGAATGGCAAGAGACTCTTTTATGCGAGAGTGCATGTGGAACTCAATTTTTTTTGCTCCCTGCCTTCGTCTTTCTTTTCTTCACCGACTGCAGATTGCTGTAATCACTGTTCATACTTTTTCGCCCCTCACTTTCCTTTCCATGATTCCATTCTGTTCATTTCCCCTACACTCTATACCTATTGCCGCCCGTGTATAAGCATTGACATTCTGACTTGAATCTACAGTCTAGTCGAGCTGCATCAGCATGGTCTACCTGTGTCTGTATCTTCCGCCGACTGCACACCGGTCATCATGAACGTCGTACCATTGCTCACTAGGGAGCGCATGTGGCATTAACCAAATCCCCGGTTCGAGTTCTGTAACGGGTACGCCTTCGCATCCCTCTTTTTTTCAACCACATCACCCCGATATGGCAACCACATCAATCCCTCGTCCCTCCCTATCCTCGCCATTTCTTTATCCCATCTACTCTATTACCCATTCAATCCCTTCGTCCTTGACATCGCCCTGGGACGTATGCAAACTCGTCAGTCATAGTTCAGTTAAGTCTTCGTCAGTTTGATTGTGATCTTCGTGAGTTTGATGGCGATCCTCGTCAGTCTTGATAGCCGGAACGTTCACAGGGGATCTAACTTACTAGTGGAAATTAGAGAGGATTTTGCAGTCGAGGGTATCTTGGAGGGCTTTCATGGTTGTCACAATCCACAAATATGCTGGTACTGACCATGGTTGCGTTCAAAATGTGAGTTACATACCAAATATGGTAATTGTTGATGGCTCGGGTTTGATGCGCCGTCGCGCCGACGCCGCTTGCTCTTCAAGCTTTAACCCATGAATTATCTTTTAGAACTTAAAATTACATGACAGAGGCTCAGCATACCAAGGACAGTGGGAATCACGGACCTGTCACCTGTACAGTCGGCCGGATGGTCGCGGTTGATTTTGACTTTTTGATTTTGATTTCTGATCGGTGATGTCACGATCAAGTAACCCAGCGCATCGAACTTGACCCACTCCCAATGTTGTGGGACTGTGTGGGCGGCGCAGGCGACCTGTGAGGCACCTTTTCTCGGTCTTATTGGCCCATCAATGCATAATTACAACAGATACGGCAATTTCGGCATCTCCGAGAAGCCCGATAGCGCATCTGACACATTGAATAGTTGTTTGTGCACAGGCCAAGCTATAAATCATTGTATGAATGCGGCATGTAAGCTACAATGTCAACACATATTTAAGCCGCAGTGGCCAAGCTCATGTGCAAGCCTGCAATAAAAACAGGCAAAGAGAATGATGAACCATTAGTACATTGCGGGACACGTGGTCGTGCTTGATCTTGTAACATTAGGGGAAGTCAAAGCTGGGAATCGACGTCGATTCTGGCGTCGATTCTGGCATTGATTCAGACATCGATTTTTGATCAAGAATCGACGCCAGAATCGATGTTTTCCGGAATCGATGCAGAATCGATGTTTCGACTCCGGAGTCGAAACTCGATCGATTCCAGAATCGTCCCTGGAATCGATCCTTTGTATAACTATGACTTATCCTTGTGATACTCGAATTTTATATCCAGCGTCCTCCGACGTTAGCCCAGCCTGTGCAAAAGCACGCTTAGCTTGGTTTTTGCGGCGCAAGAAAGCCTTCATGTGGGCAGTATGGTGGTCCAGAAAGGTCCTCAGCACTTTGCGAGCGCGCGCTTGGCGCGCCGAAAGGCGAGGCATTGGGGAGACAAGAGGGGCGGAAGTAGGACACGAGAATTCGAAGACAAAATAATTTTGATGTAGGGCATGTCATCGTGACGCAAAATTGAATAAATATAAGTCTAGCTAGAGACTTATTTGTGCACAGGGAACCGACGGCAAATCCAAGCAGAATCGATATAAAGTTGAGAGCAGAATCAGGGTTGGTCAAAGCTGGATCAATTTTTGCATGATTCTGTTCCGCGAATCGGATCTGAATCGATGCCAGAATCAACGTCAGAATCGATGTTGATTCCCAGCTTTGACTTCCCCTATTGGATAGAGATTCTTAATATGGTAGATGAACTCCTCTGCACCGCAGTGCAAACCTCCCTGTATTTCTTTGTGAAGCTGAGAATCGTCAAGGACAATAATCTAGGGTAAGTAGCTGTGTTCATAATATTTCTGAATCGTCTCAGCTACACTGTTTTTCGGGAACCATATTACTGATCCAACTAATGTAGTCCAGTCGATTACTTGGTCCCCCGATGCTGATGGGCTGTCAGGCTCAGTCATGATCGAAAATATACACAGTGGCAAGGGGAAGTCGAAGTTTGTGTTCAAGGTTCGTTCTTTCCCTTCTTCTTTTATGTGGTCTGAATTTTTACTCGGTGAGGTCACCTGCAACAAACTGAGCTACATGGCCAAGCGCTGCTATACACTCAGAAACGGAACAACAGTTTCTATCATTGCCAACTGAGACGAACTCATCCGGGAGGCGATAACCTTGGGGCAAGCAAAATTCTTCCTTGACAATTTCAAGGGGGAATGTGAGTCTGAGAAGATCAAACATCTCTGGTTAGTTTCAAGTCTCATTTGCATGTTGTGGTGGTGGTTCTGACCGAAATAATTCCAAGATTTCGAAGTCACTGATTTCCTTGTTGCTCATGAGGGTGTGATTGCCAAGGATGCATTAGAGACACCATCCTTCATTCTGTCTCCCGCATCCGGGATCAAAATCTCTGACTATCAAGCGCTTTCGGACGACCAAAAGGACGAAATTGTCATGGATAACAAGATCATATCCTCTGTTGCCTGGCTGCTTGAGCGTGAATGGAGCAACATTCACTTTCGGAAGTATTCCGGCACACTTGAACATCCTCACCACACTGACAAGCAAGGGGCAACCATTAATGTCTTTCAGCATTTCACGTACCTGAACTCTAACAAAGCCCTCGTATTGGCCGACATTCAGGGTGAGTACTTCGGGTTTTGCGGTTCATATCCTGCTTAAACTACTATGTAGGTTCCAAGAGCCATAATCCATCAAACAAAGCGGGAATTCTGTTTGATCTAATGTCGCATACACAATACGGGTGAGCTCTATATAGTCATCGTTCACCCTATATAACCGTTGCTGAATTTCCAGTGATAGCGGTGCAGGGCATCACAGTGACGATGGAATTCAGAGCTTTGTGGTTCAACACAAGTGCGGCCAGATATGCATTCAGATGGGGCTTGAGAAATTGGGAGAGACGGAGGAGGAGGAATATTAAATTCCCATTGATATTGCT